CGGGAATGTTTGACGTCCCAATGTCATAGTTAGCTATGGCAATATTTAGGGCAAGGAAATGTTCCCCGAGCTGTCCCAATGCGTTAGGTCACATGTCTTCGAAATTTATTTTTTCTTATTTGGCAGACATGCAGGATTGCTCACAATGTTTTCCATCACCGCCGAACACGTGATAAATTAGCACTTAATATTGTAATTAATAATTTCATTGGTGCTGGCAGGGATCGACCCCGGGTCGTTCGCGTACTGTGAAACATTACGTGGTAGAGTCACGCTGTGGCTATATTATGGTTGTAGCACGAATGGGTCAGATCGGCCGGTGTATGACTATACTAAAATAGTATGTGTATTTCGTAATAGTAGCTGCATTTCGTATGATGAGTGTAGAGAACCGAAGACATTTTTTACTGAAAACGAGGCATTGCATTCTAGACTTCAGGGTTGACAACGCATTTGTATTTTGATTCTCGATCGAGGAAAAATGTAGATGTCTATAAGCCATAGCATTAACTTACCATCAAGTGGACTGTGTGCTCGTTTGTCACCCTTATTCTTTAAAAAAATTACAGCAAGCGCAAACCATCTGAGCTACCACGGCACCATATTGGTCAACTTACTGACTTATTTAGCGGAACATTTCGTAAACACAAACACTGCGACGAGGAATGCATAACTTTTTATAATATTGACTAACTACAATTTACAATTAATTTTGTATTGGTATTTGAAAATGATGTGAAACGAACATTGAAACAAATTTGCGCAATATCACAAAAGCTAACTGACTAAAGTAAATTATCAATTCATGTTAACAAACTAGACACTTGAAAATACTGAAAGGTATTAAAGGTATTGAGGTTGTTCGTCTATTAGCAGTTACAGGCAATTAACATCGAAGTAAGGCAACTGACGACGTACCATTAAACAACGACAATACAAATACAAATAACTCTATCAGCCATTGAGACGCAAGATTGACTAAATACGGCACGTTGCCTCCGCACTTGGAGGGAAATGGCTTTGTGAAGATCCAAAACATTTCAAACCTCCCCCGTCCTGCGCTGGAAAGCTTTTAATTTACCATGTACCGAGCTTTTTAGACTTTACACTTTAGTTCTATGTGACGCTGCGTCGCGGACGGACGTGTCATGCTTCCACACAGTTCACAGGAACTTCTGTTACGTTATTCGTAATTGTCCGAGGGTCGAGTTCCGTAGCTTGCTTATATTAAGTGTCTTCTTGGGAGTGTTATGTTGGTTCAGTGAAGTTCGATGATTTTGGTGAGATGGTGTGGCGGCGGGAAGCCAGGCGTGCTTCTATCACGCATCTATGCACAGCTTTATTGTGGCTGTTTACCTGTTTCAACGGTTAGTTTTAAATTGTTTATAAGGGTCAATTTAAATGGCCACGGTTATGTTTACACGGTTCAGCGGTTTCGACCGTTGTAATGATACTAGTGTAAACTTTGGGGCTGTGGTTTTATTTAGGGGTATTTTACAAATTTAGGACTTTTATGGGATTTTTTTTCTCTTACTTATCAATTAAAAATTTGATATATTATTGTAACTCCCAGCTTTTAATATAGTTTTGTAAGAATATTTTTCAAGTAATGCATTAAAAATTTAATAAACTAATCATAACAAGTTATCAAAGTTCACCGTTGAACATGGGCTGCCCCATACAATCATATCGGGGATCATCTCATACGGGGATATTTGCCATAGTTGCTAATCTTGGCAGGTGCAAGTTTTTGTCCTGTTGAGCAATCAGGCAGACGCTGCTTATCTTCTGTTTCAGTTTATCTCTGTCGTCTCTTACGACACCCACGCGGAGATATTATGCTGTAGTAGATTCTCTTAGGCCGTCTAGTCACGGTGAATAAACTAATAGAAATTAATAAATATTCTATTTTTCTTTTTTATACTCGTATCATTATATAAATATTAGATTATATGCCGTGGTACCTAAAATATTATGAGTGCGAATAATTTACTAACCAACACTAGAGTTTTTTTTCCTTAGTAATCACATGTCACAAATATATTATGTAGGTACCTAGCAAGTAAATTGAAATTTAAAGAAAAAACACTACGCATATTTATTTATTTGTTAGTATGCTAAAATACTTTTTACCGTAGAGTAGATAATGTTAGAAAGTGTAAACCAAATGAGCCGAGCTCAAAAGATGATAATTTAGTTGTAAAACGTGACAATTTCGAATTATTTGGCTTTTTATTACAACGCTTGTTCAAATGAGTTCGGGAGCTGATTTTTGTATCAATTTGAGCTGCCCTTTGGTTACAACGCGTGTTCAAAACGTTAAGATAGCAGTCCGAGTGCGTAATTCAGTTATCAATTTGAGCTGCCCTTTGGTTACAACGCGTGTTCAAAACGTTAAGATAGCAGTCCGAGTGCGTAATTCAGTTATCAATTTGAGCTGCCCTTTGGTTAGAACGAGTGTTCAAAACGTTAAAACAGCAGTCCGAGTGCGTAATTCAGTTATCAATTTGAGCTGCCCTTTGGTTACAACGCGTGTTCAAAACGTTAAGATAGCAGTCCCAGTGCGTAGTTCAGTTATCAATTTGAGCTACCCTTTGGTTACAACGCGTGTTCAAAACGTTAAGATAGCAGTCCGAGTGCGTAGTTCAGTTATCAATTTGAGCTGCCCTTTGGTTATTTGACGTTATTTTACGTGTATTCAAAACATTGAAAAACAAAATATGTTGGTACTCTTCAATATTAAAAATATTTAGGCATTGATTGAAATTTTGTATTTATAGTTTTGAGGGCAACCTGTGCATTATTTACAAAGCTTTTATTATTTCGGATAACTGTTTTGTGTAAGCATTGTATTTATTAAAACTAGTATTTATATTTGTTATAGTGTTTTTAATAGAGTACTTATTAAAAAACACTATAAGAAATATATTTGCTCATTAAAACTGCATACTTTGCTTATTTTAAAAGAATATGCATCTTCATATATTTCGCTTATTATAATAGGATATACAAAATTCAAAATATATTTTTTTATTATGTGTATTTGAGAGACAAAAATAAACAGAGCGACAGACATAATTGTATAGACAATTATGTATTTTATAATTTTTTTATCATCTTTGTAAAATTATGCTGAATTTATTCATCACTTAGTTAATCAAAGTATAAATTTTTTTAATATTAGTAATCTTATTAATTAATATTGCTAATATTCCTTTTAAGCACTGCTGGTAAGTTTAAAACACTTGTGTTAGAAGTGGTTCACGACAGTAGTCAAATGGTGGATTCGAACCCACGACCTTTTGAGTTCGCGATCCGCATCCTGCCATTAGGCTCCTAATAGATTTTAATGTTTTGTCGTTATAAATATTATTTATAATAACAAAACATGAATGTCTGCATGACACAGGCCAAATGAAATAAGTATAAAGTTTTTCGTAATATACCTAGTAAAATTAAAGTATTAAGCTACTCTATAGAAGCAGTAATTTTACATAACATATGTGAATTCCGCAAACAACAAAAAGTTACAATTAAATTAAAATTACCAAGAACAAAAATGTGAATAATTTAAAAATAGTACCTTCAGTAACAATAGATCCTAACTTGCCGTAAGTAAGAATCTATTAAAATGTTTTACATCTGTAATAAATATTGCTATTTTTTGCATTAAGTGCATAAAAATAAAAATAATACTTTTTTTAAGTAATGTAAATTACTTATTACAAGAGGAATCAATAGTGAACAAAATATTCTTGTTTCAATTAAAAAAAAATATGGGTGGATCAACTTTTTTACCCACACTTTGGTGTCCCTAGCAGGTTTTTTTACTTCATGACTTAATTAAAAGTTTTTTATAGGTTAATGGTCTTCTAAACACATAACAAATAATCAGGCATCATTAGGAAAATTCTAAAGTTACAGAAAATTAACAATTTGTTTTGATTTTTAGGGTAACTCAGTATACCAAAAAGAGCTCCCATACAAAAAATCCTTGTCCTCAGACCGTAGTCTCTCATGTCAATTCCCGTTGAAATAATTTTTTTCTATAAAAACCTGCCTTGAAATTAATTTTACAAAGAGACAAAACAATAAACTTTATCAAGATTAACCACTGATATTAAATAAACATAAAATATTTGAAGAAAAAAATAATTTAGGACTGTCCCTCAATAAATACCTTTTGCACGTGTATGCTGAGTTACCTCCAAAATTTGCGTTAATAGAACTCCTAGATGGTATGTCTTGCTGTTGCTAACTTCATTTAAGTCGTATGCGGTAACAAAGGCGGGCGAAACTTTGATGAGTGCCGACAAGTCAATCAGTCTACCTCGAACGCTTACAGAGAGTGCGCGTACCTTTTTGTGCCGTCAACTGAGTTACCACATTTTCTCGTAAAATGTAAGTAGTAACCTTGTAATAATAATATTATATAGTACTGGCTGTGGTTATCGACTAAATCATATGTCACTTATTTTTTTAATACTTATAATAAAATGTATTTTTGATCAAAGTACTTGAATTGTCTCCTCAGTTACCAGTATACTGAATTACTTTGAAGGTAACTCCATAGACATCGTCAGTAACTTCAGAGACAGTCGCGCACTGTTGAACACATTGTGGCGTTAAACTTAAATCAATATCTATTTTTATATATGATTCTTGTATTACTATTTCATTTTCAATATGTACTTCTCTTATTTCATTAGCACATTATTTTCAATGGTAATTATCCTCACTTAAATGTTAAGTATAAGTGCGAAAGTGAGTGTTTATTGGTAACAACCTATTAACACAAAAACTACTGATGGGTTTGCATTAAATTCGACACACAGTATACCTTGACCTAGATAAGGCTATAAGATACTTTTATTTCGGTAAAAAGTCGAAAGCGGGAGCTAGTTTTTTCCAATTTACATGTCTTATTTTTTATATTGCATTGAATAATTTCTTATGAACTGAAACATAAAAACTGTATTTCTTCCTTCCTTAGATATGCAATGGCACGTTTAACAGCAGCAGAAAAACAAAAGCGATATCGAGATAGGCTTAAAAATAACCCTGAAAAATATGAAGAAAACAAAAGAAAACATAGAGAGCACTACCACAAAGTGAAAAGATTAGCAAAAGATTTGTCACCGAAGGAAAGAAAACAAGCTAATTTGATTTGGAAACTAAGGCAAAGGGAATATAGGAAAAGAAGAAAGAATCTACAAAGTATTATAGATGTGACACCGCCAAGTTCTCCATTACCTAGAGTACAAGATATTCAAGCAGTCCACCAACCACCACCGGCACCACCGGTTTCAAATGCGTCTAGAGGGCGAGAACGAAAAAAGTGAAGAAACATAAATCTAAAGTATATAGAGCAAACAAAAAATTGGAAGAGGAAAATAAAAAGTTGAAGAGATTGTGTGAAAAATATAAGAAAAAACTAATGCGAAATGAACAAAAAGAAGTAAAAAATAACAAGATACCAGAAGACAAGCAAAGCTATAATCTTTTGACCAAGTCTATAAAAGATCGGTACAAGACGATAAGGAGTCTCAACGAGAAAAGACTGCTTAAAAGCATTTTCAATACTGGCTTTATTGAAAGATCTAGAAAGAAAGCAGAATTGCTCAAAGAAACACTCGGAATACACAGAGAGTATCGTAAAAAAACCAAAGACCAATCGTAGCATACTACAGCTAAGGAAGAAAATTCGCCAATTTTTCGTACGCGACGATGTGTCTAGACCCACAGCTGGAAAAAAAGAAACCAGAAGATAGACTACGATCAAAGAAAAATTGATGGCACTATAAAATACAGTGAATGGGTAAGGAAAGAAGTCAAGTTAGAGAAAGACGGTAAAATAATAAAAGCAATCAAGAATGTAAAAGAGGAAAAAATTGAAGAAGTTGCACATCTAAGACAAAAATTTGAAAAGGATATTATTTCTTTCAAAAAGCATATATACAATATTAAAATCCAGTTTCAAAAATTTCGCGAGTGTTTAAGTAAAATGCAACCCAATGAGTGCGCTATTGTAGTCGACTTTAGTGAAAATTATAATTGTAAATATCACGAAGGGGTGCAATCTCATCATTTCGGAGGGTCCAGAAACCAAATAACATTACATACTGTAGTGGTTTACACTTACAACCACGAAAAACAACATGCAGCTAATTCCTTCTGCTCCGTTTCTGCCTCAAATTGTCATCAGCCTGCAGCCATCTGGAGCCACTTACAGCCGATTTTAGAATTGGTAAAAAATTCACATGAAGCTGTTGATACTATTCATTTCTTCTCAGACGGACCATCGACTCAATATCGCCAAAAGCAAAACTTCTATCTGCTTTGCACAAAATATTTTGATTATGGGTTTACAGCAGCTACTTGGTCTTTCTTTGAAGCCGGTCACGGTAAAGGCCCTGCAGATGGAATTGGAGGGTTTCTAAAGCGATATGCTGATAAGTTGGTAGCTACAGGTGCGGATATTCCGAATGCAGATGCGTTTTTCAAGCAACTTGAAAATACCAGTAAAGTCAAGATGTTTTTGATAAAAGAGGAGGCTATTAAAAAACTGCAAGATGATCTGCCGAATACTATCCCACGTCTGATTGGAACATTGCAGGTTCATCATGTATTTACAGATAAAAGAAATATTGTAAAATATAGAGAGCTTTCCTGCTTTTGTAAATTTACAAAGAGAGGTTTTTGCAACTGCCTGAACCCCAAAACGTACCAAGTGAATTTTAATGCCGCTAAGCAGTTAAATGTAGACCCTACTAAGCAAATCCACCTGCAAATCCCCGAACCAAAAAGACACGATGTTCTAGATCCATCAGATGAAGATGTCCCTCTTGCCGTGTTGAAGCAAATCCAAAATATACCATCCCAACGAAGTATTTATCGAGCTGTCTATGGATCTTCATCTGATAGTGACGACAAGTCACAAATTGATAAGGAAAATCGTAAATCGATGGCTGTAGATGATAAATTTCGTTTTCAAAATGTCCATATAGAGGAGGACCAAGTAGCTTCCACTAGTTACGACAAAATTTCTCAACAGGTATCAATTGGTGATTTTTTACATGTTTATGTTTATGGCAGTAACAAAAAAAAAGAACATTTATTCTTACGTTTGCAAGGCTTTGTCCTCTATAGAAGAAGACGGTGAAATTAAAGTTATGTTTTTACGGGTAGTTAGTAATGATGCGAAGAAGTTCAGAGTAGACGAAAAGGATATCAGCTACGTAAATTATGAAGATGTTATTAGCATCTTGCCGGTACCAAGCCTTCTAGAAAAAGATATGTATAAATTTACTGATTCCATTGATATTTTTGAAAAATAACTACTGCCGCAATTTGATTTCAAGATTATAAATATGACGAAGTTGATTATTAATAGTAGAATATTTGTCATAAATGTGATATTATTTTGTTCCTTATTTGTAAATCAAATTTCTTATATTAGTATGATTGTTACTTACTTCAAAGTCATTATGTTTAGAAGTAGGTAATTTTTTTAAATATTAAAAAAAAATAAGTTCGCTGATTTTATGTCTTAGGTGTTACCAAGTTTGTCTCTGTAGTTACTTTTTTGTCCCTAATTTTAAATTTTCGTTTTTAAACGTGGTGATCTTCCTGCCTACATCAGAATCTATATTTTTATATCACAATATACTGTAGATAAAAGGGCATCTGTAGGGTAGAGTTTTTGCGTTTATCTAATTACTTATTTAGTTTTAATGAAAAGTTTCGTGTTTATTTTTGATGTTGGTAACGCAAGATACAATTTATTGATTACTTTTAATATAAAAACTAAACATTTGTTAAGACTGACTTTATTACAGCAATTAATTTTGCGTGCAAAACTAAATAAAAACTACGAATCATTTATATATTTGTGTTATTCAGACTATATTGATCATTATATAAAGGTTACGCAGTAGATTATTTTTAGAGTGTGCTAATACATTTTCGCAATTAATTTTATATAAAAATTTTTAAATATTATTTTTATTAAAAAAATATTTTTTTAACAACGATATACAAAATAATAAATTAAGTAAATTTATTCGTGGATTATCAATTATTAAACAGAAATTGCGGCCAAAATTATAAATTAACTTCGTGCCCCTTTGAAATATACAAAATAGTTGATATTTCGAACACACGTTTCGTGTCGGAATGCACATATTAAATATTTATTTAAAAAAAAAATATTTTGCCTGAGCTCTCCAAAATGTGGTTCGAATAGTTGATTGACCCATATATTTAAATAATATATTTGTAACAGCAGCAGCGGTCACGTTTTACGAGGGCGCAGTGTCTGCAACGTTGTTGTGTAGGGCGTTTATTTGCATTTAGGGACCAAGAATTCGGAACAAAAGCTATACAAGTTACACAATATACACTTAAAAATCCTAGACATATTACATTATAACGTAAAGTTATAAGAAACTAAGACACAAGTTTATAAAAGCTAAAGAAATTATGCTTTATATAAAACTGATTTCACGGAGATAATTATCGCGTTTGATTTGATTTTTTATTTCCCGATATTTTGGGTGCTTGTACTTTTGGGTAATTCCATAACGATGGGTGCTATAAAGCACATTAAACTTAGAAAATTAAAACTATGTCAAACTAAACGCGATTAGTTCGTAAAGTTAATTTGATTCAATGTTTAGCATCATCATTGCCCGCTGCTGAACATAGGCCTCCCTCAGAGATAGCCTCACAGAAGTGATATCTTCAATAGTGGCTGGACTTGCGCTCGGTTTGGCAACCTCAGTTATATATTAAATGAATTTGTGGTCAGGAAGACGCTGCCGCCCATCTCCTATTTCATTCCCCTCTGCCGCCTTTTTAGGACACGCTCGAGGTGATATGGAGTAGAGGCGGGGTGAGGGTTCTCTGACGCCACCACTATTTACACAAACCTTTCAGTATTCAACCAAATACTCAAAGCACAAAACTAATTACGTGTTTGGCTACAGCTATGCGAGTTGCAGGTTCAATCTTCCCATGAAACAAGCATGGTCTTACATGAATTGCGAATTATTCCATGTTTATTTATTTGTGAAATGATATAAAACCTTTTAATGTTTCTATGTAAGGAAACACACAATAAAATGTTTTTGTTAAACATCAACATGCTTTTTAGTCTACTACTTTTGAATATACTACATCGTTTAAATAAAAACAAGTAATGTAATTTTCAATACAACTTAGTCCCACTCCTGGGCATAGGCCTACTCTCATTCATAAGATTATTTTAGGACAAGGGAAAACATCCGCGCTGCCCCCATGCGAGTTGTAATTAAAAATTAGCTTGCGTCCCACTGCTGGTCAAAGATCTTCTCTTATTTCTGAGGGGATGAGAAAAATAATCTAATTAAACAACATTTATATTATGGTTATAACTAGTGAACTCTTTTGCAAAAGAGAGTTCTTATATTTATTTGCCCAGGAGTCTGTCAAGGTAGTTACAACTTACCTATTTATTTCTGCCGCCTAATAGCAATGCTTGCACTGCTTTGACACGGTTTGTAGAGTATAGTATAGAGAATCAGAACTAAATTAAATTAACAACATCTTATCATAATATTTGAAAAATAATTAAAATACTGCGTATTTTAAATTATGCTTAAACTAAAATATTTGTATTCTGACATCATAAAACATTATTCTGTTGAAAATATTTCTAGCTTACGTAGGTTTGACGTGCATTATTAGGTACCTCATTCATCCTATTAAAGACCATCCACCCACATCGAGGGCAAACGATGTCCGTCAAAAAGCCGTTTATGAGATTAGCTTTCTATATGGTCGAAACGCAATTAGGTATTATAGTTTCAAGAGTAAATGTTTGTGAAGTTAAGACTAAGATAAGTGTTAAATACTATAAAACATGTGATTTACCTTTTTTTCAAAACTGGAGTGACAAACGAACTCACAGTCAAACTGATAGAAAAATACTTGCATGACACCTGCAGCCAACTTCAAACCAAAATGGCTACTGATGTGTTGTCAACTCTAAGGACTTGTACCGAATGCCTCATAGCCTGTAACAATACACTTTGCCCTTCACTACTGACAGCTGTATATACAAAAATAATCAGCTGCTATTTTCACAGCACACTGATATTAGCCAAGTAAAAACTAATAGATGTAATCTAGAAAAATTGCAAGTATTCTCTAATCGTAATATTATCTATATACCGTAATACGGTTTCGAAGTTGCTGCCACCTGTAGGACACTAAGACTTTTGTGGAATTTAATTTTAGAACCTAATATGAATATTGAGGAATGAGTTGATGAATGATCTAAGATAATCTCTTAGTTAGAATAGATTTTTTTTTTACTTTTTATTAGGATTACCAACGATTGATACATTATTACATCATTAATTAAAATTTACGGTTTCGTTATTTCTAAATGTACAATCACTTAAAGGTAATCACAACATGCTATCAATTTACATTTTAGTACTATATAAGGTATCTAAGGAATTCTTATTTTAAATAATTTGATATTGTATGAACGAGTGCGCGTGCACGTGCGTGTGCGTGTGTGTGTTTGTGTGTGTGTGTGTGTGTGTGTGTGTGTGTGTGTGTGTGTGTGCGTGTGTGTGTGTGTGTACGTGTTTTACATTAATTATTAACAATTTGGTACACGATCTGTACTTTCACATTGTTTGAAGTACTTATATAAATTCTTATAAAACTGACATATGGAATCAAAATGAACATCAACGACTTCACTACATTCATTAAATACTTTACAAAGCCTTGCGACTGGTGAATGCGCACCAAGAACAGTTCTACGACGTGGTGGGTAAAGAAGTGGAATTGGTTTGCGTGGAATTCTTATTGGAGTGCGAAATTTAAATTGGGCGAGAAGCTGTGGACAATCTACTTCATTTCTAAGCACCTTGTATAAAAACATAATATCTATTAATTTTAGACGTATCGATAAGGGAAGCATATTAAAATATTGAAGTCTATCCGCATAAGATGATATTTTTAGTGCTTTTCCAACAGAGTATGTAAGATGCCACATAAAGCGTTTTTGAACTCTCTCCAATCGCAACGAATGTGTAGAATAGTGGGGACGCCAGACAACACTGCAGTACTCAATTATACTCCTTACAAGGCTATTGTACAATATTTTTTTTGTTTTAGGGTTTTTAAATGACCTACCATTTCTTATGACAAACCCTAACATTTTGAAAGATCTATTTATAATACTATCAATATGAGGTACAAAAGTTAGTTTTTTGTCAAAATATACACCAAGATCACTTATCACTTCTACTTCTTGTATTTCGTTATTCCCTATGAAGTAATGGTTATTGATCAACTTAGTATTTCTTGTAAATTTAACATGTGAACATTTAGAATAATTAGGATTCATGCCGTTAAGATTACACCAATTTACAAGTCTATTTAAATCTGTCTGTAACAGTACTGAGTCTTCTAAAGATTCAATTATTCTTCCAAACTTTAAATCATCCGCATACATGTAGGGTTCCGAAAATTTAAAGCAACTAGAAATGTCATTTATAAACAGGTTAAATAATATTGGTCCTAAATTTGAGCCCTGTGGCACACCAGAGGAAATGATACGATTATCAGATTGAAATCCATTTATGACCACATAAAAAGAACGTTTTTTTAAGTACGACTTTACCCATTCCAACAATGATCCGGCGATCCCATAAACGGCTAATTTGTAGTTTAGGACTTTATGCGGAACTCTATCAAATGCTTTACTTAAATCTGTGTATATTACATCATATTGCCTACCTGCATCTATTGCTTTTACCAAAGACTCTGTAAAAGTTACAAGGTTTGTGCAAGTTGACCTTGATCGAACAAAACCATGTTGATTATTACTGAGGTAAAGTTTTAAGTGAGTCTGCAATAGTTGACTAACTAGTGATTCAAGTATTTTACCGAATATTGGCAAAATTGAAATTGGCCTATAATTAGATATTATGTTCTTATTCTCTGACTTGTGAATGGGAACTACCTTTGCAATTTTCCACTTCGATGGGAAAACTCCCGTTGCTAATGATTTGTTGTATATAATCAATAGAGGTGTAACCAAAACCGATGCACAAGACGCTATGAAAATTGGCGGAATATCATCAGATCCAGAACCTTTATTACAATCCACTCTTTCTAGCTTGTTTAATAAAGTTTTGTAGTCTAAAGTCGGGCTTGTCAAACATTGGCTATTACTCCATAATAATTTCAAATTATCGAAATCATGGATACAAAATTGTCTATCTCCGTCTGCATTGTAAACAGAAGAGAAATAATTCGCAAAGAGTTCACATAT